GTCATAATAATTATGTATAAATATATATATATATAAAATCTTTATTACTTTTTATGTTTTTGGGGTGATAAAACATTTAATCAGTTTACCAATTCGTAGATGAGGTGGCTGCATTAGGTTTATTTTTCAGGGTTGTTTTCCGTTTATTCTCACCTGTGATCCTTTACTGCACCTCTGATTTGTACTACAGACACCTCCCCCTACTACCTTTACATAAGGAGGAGGTGTTTTATAGTTCACGGAAGACAGCCGGGCAGACCAATAACATTGTATGAGATCTCAGTTCTGTCTAGCAGAAGTTATAAGGACGCTGGATTTCTGACAGGGTCAACAGGTGTTAGTCTGTTTTTACTTGTTCCTTAAAAAAAGAAAAACGACGCAGCCACCATATCAAATGGCTTGTAAGCTGCAAGACATTATTGCCTGCCGTTGTGATGAAACGGCCAGACGGTGGACTCTCAATGATGGGGTGGGGGGGCACACAGGCGGCCGGAGGGCGTGGCTATGGTGCCATTCACTTCAATGGACCGCCACGTCCCCTCCTGCCCCCCAACATAGTGAGTCGGCTGCAATGCGATGCAGTGCGTTCTGGCCAGAATCGGGCCGGAACGCACTGTGTCTGGTGTGAACGAGGCCTGAAAGTCACAATAGAAAACGTAAAATAAAACATCATTTTTTAAAGTCGCTCGCCCCCCCCTGTACACACGCATACAAACTCAAACACGTGTCGGGGGCGCCTATGTGCGAAAACGACGATTGCGCCGCACATGTTACATATCATCGCGAACGTCGCAGTGAGAGCAAGAATTCTGGGGCCATCAATCACTGATGACACTAAACTGATGAGCGGTAAAAGCTTTTAACTACCTTCTTGGATGTAACTGGGCGTGTATACAAACATACCCGACGTGACCCCGAATTTTATATTTTACCAAAAAAGTTGGTAATATTAGTTGTTTTATAACATAATGTAAAATTTTTTTTATTTATTATTATAGTAAAAAATAAAACCCCCAGTGGTGATTAAATACCACCAAAGGAAAGCTCTTTCTGTCCCCAAAAAATGGTATAAAATTCATTTCAGTACAGCGTTGCATGACGGAATAAATGTCAGTCAAAGTACCGCAGCGCTGAATACTGAAAAGAATACTGAACAATGTCCGGGACAGGAAGGGGGGTTTAACACCCCGGGCCTCAAGGGGTTAATAAGGTTCACCTGACCCGCAAAGGGCAATTAGGAGTCCATGTTATATACCACCTGACCTGCAGTGGGTGTAGTTTAGCACAATTCAGTCTGGTGCATTGGGGTTTTCTTAAAATTTATTTACATGCTGGCAGAAAACCCGAGCCCGATATCAAAGTAGTTCCTATTTATCAGTAGAACTGTGATCCCAAGAGCTTACAATCAACAAAAGCGGTGGTAAGGCCCAGGCTAGGGCAATAACTATATCCTGTCGTGTCATTTATACATCTACTGGGGGTATTTAAAGCAAACTTAAAGTGCGTTTAATATATCTAAAGTGACTCAATATTTACAAATAATAAAGTATGGGTCGGAAGCGGTTGAACCCGGAGTAATAATGACCCTGTGTGCCGGCCCACCCAGGTCAAGGTCCTTTGGGCACTGAGAGTTACGTTATAGGAGGTGTATAGGTAATCTAAAGTTAACTATAATCTATTTCATGATAAACTATTGTCCTCTTATAGGGGGAGGAATGCCCTGCT